TCTTTCTTTATTCCTGCTCACTGCCAAGAGATGACAATTGAACAATTAAGGCACAAAGCAGAGAGGGTTTAGCAAATCATGAACTGTTTTTAATTTGCCTCATTAAGCTGCTGTTAACTACTTAAAGCCATCTGCTTAAAAATAATTTGCGCATCTTAAGTTTGCTCTAGAGAGCAGGTAGACCTTCATTAGAGCAGGTTCTGTTATTAATGTTATCTTTAGGGGGCTTTCAGTTGTTGTGGAAAATATGTTATTGTTCACTGAACCAAACTGTCCCTGTAAACAAAAGGAGGTGGCACATGTTTGTAACTTGCAGTCTGCTGCCATAACCGTATTCTTGGGAACCACTGCCATTCATTTAGAAACTGTCTTGCTGTGGAGAAAGTTATTTACAGCCATGAGGTAGATCTGGGCACGAGAAAGGAGAATGAGCTATGTGAATGCCTAGTATCTGTATTATCTACTACTATCCCCCCAGAAATTAGTCGTGGAGAGGAAGAACAGTCAGATCCGTCACAGTGCCTCAGCTGTAATTGAGATGGGGGAACCCCACTGCCTACGCCCTGAGCTGAGAAAAAACAAGTTTATTTGTCTCGCCCCAGATTTGTAAAGAAACAAACCAGAGAGCCACAGACTCTCCCTCCTATCTCAAGCTGAGATTCATTGTCGTTTCAGTTAGAGATAGCATGTATGCTCCTTTCTGACCTCATATGTGTTCCTGCGGTTTGCTGTGAAATAATTGCTCTCATTCTCGTCAGAGGAGGCTGTTTCAGCAGTAAGCTAATGGATCGCTGATACAAATACATTCATTTCGAGTGAAACTAGCTTTAGAAATTTTAGGTAATGAGGGTGTGAGAATTAAAAAGAAGGTCCTCCACTCAGTCTGTGGGAAAGCAGTGGATGGGACTTTTGTAATATTAGCGGAGACATAATATTTGACTAAATATAGATCTCCTTTTATCAGTAAATTAAAACCTCATTAAAATATTGCTATGAAATGGATTGGTTGTTTTTTTTTTTTTTAATTGCATGCTGTTTATTAAGAAGAAAAATGCCAATATTTACCAGGATGTAAATCTCTTGAAGTATCTGAGCAAAAATGTTGCTATAAACTGTAAATATCTTTTAAATATCTTTGTCTTTCTATTAAGATTTTGTCTCTTTCTGTGAAGGAGGAAGCCTACAAACAGACTGACTGCACAGGTTTGCACACAATATGCAACTGTGTGACAAACCAGAAAAAATACAGTGCTTGTTGTAATTGCTTTTGGTTTTAATAATTGAAGGTACTATTTGCAACTGCAGCTACTGTGTCTATTAATTTAAAATAAGACTTCCAAGAAATCCTTGACTGTAATCCTTTCATGTTTGCCCAGTCATCTGGGCCTACATTTGAAAAAATGGGGAATAAAAAAATATCTTATTTTGTCTCGATTGGAAGAAATGAATGTTCTAAAAATGTATACATGTCAATGAACAGAATATGTGGCTTCTGCCATATTTGATATGCCCTCATACTTCTGTTCTCTTTGCTATATTTGTCTTTATCTGGAAAGAATTTTACTTCAGGATTTCACTGTGAAATACCTCTACGCAGTAAAAACCTTTAAATGACATAGAGTGAATTAAAAAGTTCCTGTAGATCAAATATGTGAAAAATTAAACCAATTTTTAAATTTGCAAAACACTTACAAACATTTTAAACACAGTACTTAAATTCACAGCTGTCTACAGAAGGGTACCCAGTGCCAAGACACTATTGTAAACTCGGTTATTCAAATCGTGAGTTGTTCTTTTTAGTACGCTCAATTGACATGCAAGGTTAGGGCTGATTGAAAAATATTTTATGTGCAAAACATTTTTATGAGCAAAACATTTTGAGTTGAGCTGAATTAAATCTCTGAATCCATCTGAGCTGTAGCTCAAATAGCAGGAGAGAGTGATAACCGCCATGGATCTTCTGATGATAAGTTTGTGTCGGAAGCTTTGTTTATCGGAGAGAATGGTGTACGATGACCCAAATCTACAGTTTACACCAGCTTAGGAGTCTTGAAAAATATTTCTTTTGCATTTCCACTCTGGGTGAGAGCAAGTTGTCAAAGTCCTGCAATCATCACAAGAAGTGTTTTAATTTTCAATCATTTCTAGTTATAATCCATACACAAAATGCAGCAAATTCTGCTTTAGCAACACCTTCTGTCGCTAGAAGACCTGAAGAAGATCTTGCCCGGGGTGCAGCTAATGCAGCTGTAGAAGCTGGAAAACTTGCTGTGCTTAAACCTCAGCTCAGCTGCTGTGGTGGCCTTCTTTTCACACCCACCCTTTTTTGGGTATTTTTTGCAGATGGGGAGGGGTCAGGAAAATAAAGACAGCTGTATCTCAGTGCAGTCAGCTCCTTTGAAGTACCGCTTCCCTCCTGTGCGTAACATCTCTGTCCATCATGTCTTATCATATGTGACCAGCAAAAATATTTCATTTCTCCCTTTCCTGCTGCTGAAAAGAAGGAACAGAATCAGTTTGCCCTTTCTGACAGGTCTACCCTCTGGTCCATCTGTGAAGGGCATCGGCTGGGGAGTGGTGGAGCCTAGTGTTTAATGAGAGAGGAGCCTTGAAAACTCCTAGTAGTTCAGAGTTGGAATGAGGTATGTGAAAGGGGAATAAAGAAAATACTGCTGCTAAGAGCTGTGAGGCCCTCAGAAGCCCTGAGCTGTACCATGTTTACTTCTCAGTCGCTGAGTGGGAGGAGGATCTGTATCTTGCGCAGCTCTGTTCTCTGAACGTATGAAGAAGGTACAAAAAAGGCTGTCTAGGGGATGGTGCTGTGCTGTGTGACCCGACGGTTCCTGCATTCCCTGCACTTCCACCTAAGACAAGAAGCAATGTGGAGAAGATTGCTGCTGACAGGAGAGAATGACAGTTCTCCAATGAGTGCCTGAAGAAGTAGATGTGAAATGGGGTGTGTTTCTGATAATTGACTTTGGAACCTCACCTGGAAGGTGGATTCCTCTGTTTAGGAAATAAACCTTTCCCCACTCATCTTCCTGCTCCTTCCTGCCCTGAGCCTAGCTGGAGCTGGTATGAGACGAACGCTGCTGAGGGATCCTCAGCAACCCTGTCCTGTTTGGGGACTGAGTGCACCTGTGAAAGAAATCTGGCAGAGGAGCAGTGCTGACTCAGGTGACAGCTCAGCAGGGGAGGAGGCAGCGGCTTAACAGAAGTAGTTTTAAACTGTATTGTTTGTGAAGACAGTCCTTGAGTAATACTCACATGAATCATAATTTTGGAGTCTTGGGATGGTTTGTTTATTTTTTTCTGGAAAAAACAGACCCTTAGTGCTTGTGTCTACTTGAGAATGTAATTCTGCATTGAAGGAGTAATATCTAGCATTTGTGGAAGAAAGTGACTCGTGACCTGAATGCCCTCTTACAACTCAGAGCTAGAAAACGTAGGAAAACTCGTTTGTAGTTAAATCACTGAGTTAGATGGGTGTGAAAAGGCTGTCTAGGAGATACTGAGAGAAGGGCATGAAGTTATTTCCTCCAAATTCACAACCTGAAACCAAATGGGAAAGCTACAGGCTTTCCACTTGCTCCTTCCTTTGTTTAGAAATCCATTGGTAAGTAGCAGAGGAGTCAAGAGACAGCTAAAGGAGTTAGGATAGAAGCGTCTACCAGCTCTAACCTCCTATTCGCATCTTCAGAGACAAGCAGACATGCTGGGGCAGGGCAGCACTTGGAGGAAAAAGGAATAGAGAAGAGCTCCAACCTCTCTCTTGCACCTTTATCCCAGAAAGACTGTGAATAATACCACTTTTTGGAGGTACTTCGTAAAAGGAAGTATCATATCTTCTCTTTATTTCACCTGGTAAAAGGGAACTTGCATGACTATAACAGCTGTGCTTCGGGCAGTGAATTTCTGGCATTGTGACAAAGTTGGTCTTAAACATTTCCTTCACCTAGCTTCGGCAGACTAAGATTGTTTTTGTGCCAACGTTTTGGGGGCTGTAACATTGGGAAAGAAAAGGTTATGTGCTGCAGTGGTTGGGGTCACTTATTAAAATAAATCTCATGACTGTACTGTTTTTTGAATGAAGGGTGTACTGAGGGAGTGCTTACTGTGGTTGGAATAGGAGCTCCAAGACTGAGTCAGATCAGTAGGCTTTTTGTGGGCATGTATGATAGTTCACCCGAAAACAAATGTAGGTAGTTCTCATGTGGTCTGTCAGCACAGAATAGCAACGACGATACTTATGAAAGACAACCTCTGCAAGGAAAAAAGGTGAGAAAAAAGAAATCTGTGTGTTAGGAGGTCCAGTTTATGTGGTGGATTCTAATAGCAAAGCAGCCTTACCCTGTAGCGCGTGGCGTAGCTGTGCATGGCTGCTCAGGCAGGGAGGAACAGAGCGGGGCTTGTGTTGTAACATGGCAAAGGCAATTTGCCTCCCTTTTGACTGAAAGAATTGAAGCGAGAACATTTACTTTGCGAAATTCATTAGTCTGTTAAGTAACTACCCTGTTGGAAATTAAAATCTCCTGAAAAGATTGGCTTCTCTGTAGTTCATGGCAGTTTAGAGCCAGACACATGACCTGGTTGCATCCTGGATACTGAGATCTTATTTTTTTTTTTATACATACTTTTTTTATAGATAGTAAAAAAAAAAAAAATTAAAAAAATCCCAAACCCTAGCAGCAAAACAGTTAGGTTCTGTGGAATGAAGTAAAACCAAATTAAATTACATTTTGATATAAGGGATAGTCTGTGCAGAATGACAAATAGTGAATACCTACAGCAGGTTCCACACCTATGAAGTTAATTTTGGAGAAGATAGGGGATACAGTGCGGCTTTGTCCTGCTAAAGAGGCTTAAAATATTGATAATTCTACAACAGTAGACCTTAAAAACATCAGAAGTTTATATTTTGAATAAATTTAAGGTGCTATTATGTAACAACCTCAACTTTTT